TAAAAATCATCAAAATGCAAATTCGCTCCTCCCGTTCCCGAAGGAAACGGAGGGCTCCGGTCGAGCCGCGGCTCGGAGCGAGCGATTATCAAGAGTGCTCGGCACGATTGGACACTAATTGCAGATTAGAATTCATTGACTCCGACTACTAATTCTAAATATGTCTCTCGTCGTCATTGTTGCTCCCGCTGCAGCTCTGGATTCAGTCGGGAATAGCGTTTCCCGGAGGCTGTTGGGGGTTATTCCAGCGAAGATGGAACTGCGAACGTCAATTATAAAGAGATTATCCCTCAGCCAGCTATATCGAACGTTCGAACGACGGAAGTCTTCGTTCAGCCGCCGCCGCCGCTGCCGTCGTCGCCGAACGCAAATAAAAGAAGCGGAATGCCATGTGCGGAGCGTGCGCTGAAATCCGAACCGACCACTACCTTCGGAATACGTCGATGTCGAAGCCTCAGGGCTTGTTTGCTCACGGATCAGTTTACGGTTGACGCCACGGGTCGTCCCAAATATTCAAATATTCCCTTTGTCAACCAGCCTGAAGGTCCCGAACCGACGTGAGACCGGCTCGGTGGCCGCTTGTTGGGACGGATGCACGATTACTTGGCTAGTTGGCCGACCGGTGGATGCGTGGGTGGCATGGTCGGTCGATCCGTGGGCGAGCCCGTGAGTAAGGCAACCAGGAAGCCACCTTCCGATCCGCCGGAGCGACCTTGCTTGTTCGCCCGCCTGCCCGCTCGGGAACGAGAAAGCTCGACGGCCTACCAGCTGGGGAGCCAGCGGCGATAGCAAACCCGCGACCAGCACGCTAGCCCGTCGATGGAGCCGTTAATTAAACAGGCAATAAGTGGAAGTGGTATTATAAGGATGCATGACAGAGCCCCCACCGCCTCCTCCGGCCGGTCGGATAGCCGTCGGCCGAGTCGATCCCCGGGGCTTCGCTCCTCATCGTCGTCAGTCGTCAGGACTTCGGTGTCCGGGTTGAGGTCATTAGACCGTGGGGAACAGTATTGCTAGACGATAAACATCAGTGGCTGAGCTTACAACCTGATGCTCTCCTCGGGATTTCGATCGATCTGTCTCTGCAACAAGGCGAGAACATGAAAAACGTGCCGAGCAGAAGTCTCTGGTCTCTCCAAGAGCCAGCTCTTACCCGCTGCGTGATACGAAATTATCCAGCACGTACTTCGGATAACCAAACCGAATGATTGTAATGTACGAAAGCGGAGTCGAGGGACATGTAGAAACAGGAACGAAGGGACAGTCGGGATTCGTTCGACGAAGGAAGAGTTGGGATTTTGTTCGACGAGCTGAGTCTGTCGGGGAAAACTTTGAACTGGATCCCCGAACTCGCAGAAAATGTGTTCGTCCAAGTCATGTGGATCCAGGCTCTTCTCGCGTGCGTGTTCGAGAAACGACTCGTTCGAGGCAGCGAGCGATCGCTGCTCGTTCGGCACGCTCGCAATGTAACCGAGCGGTAAATGCACACACGAGTGAGGTCTGCGCATTATCCCGACAGTTATTTGAAGGAGAGATTATAGCGAAATGACCACTTAGCGCAAGTGTCGACATTGCCGGGATGAGGTACAGCATCGTTGCGCGCAATAAAACGACGAAACTTTTCCCGTGTTGGAATGCTTCCCGCCGCCGTAAGCTGTCGATACGACGACGTCGAAGTCCGCGCATAAACCCAACCCACGGAAAGGGATGGTCGCGTGATCCGTTTTCTACATAGTAGTTACGAGATCAAAAACACGCGGCCCCGGAAGCGAACTTGCTTATCACGCCGCGTCGGTGTGAGCGACATAATCAAGAGCGACAGCAGCAACGAGTCCGGCGACTTCGAGAGTGAGAGAAAGCTTCAACGATGCGCACTCTCCTCAGATTGCAGATGAGGGGATGGAAGTTCTCGAGACTTGATGTGATATGTCTCTCGGAGAATCATTGTCGGACTTTTATTCAGTTCGGTCGCAAGGCTTGCACTGTGTATGGCTGACTGGATCGGCGGAGGCCGCCGCTACGTGGCGGCGGCCCGCAGAGGTAGTACGACCAACGGACGCACGGACGGGCGGACGAGCGCGCGAGCGAGCGGACTGGCAGCCAGGAAGTTTGTGACAGCTTCTGTGACAGTCGCGAATGCAAATTTCTCCAAAAGTAAACTACGGATTAGAATATGAAATGCTCGGAGTATTTAGCATAAAATGCTTTGCCTGGCTTTCGAGTTATTTGCTCGCTCGCTCGCTGGCTGTTGCAGTCCGATGTCGGTCGCTTATGAAACTTTGTGTACGTTCTTGCACCGTCGGGAAAGAGATCGTACTGCCCGTAGAGACGGCAGTTACCTCTGGCCGACACAACACTCGCCGACTGGCAACTCCCCCCAATTCATCTTCAAGGTGACTTTGTCTGCTGTTCTTCCCGAAAGTATCGTATGGGTAGCTCAAATTTTATTAGGGATCCCTTCGAGCCCTCAGGGTGAATCTTTGAATTCGGTGCGCGCGTGAGGTAGAGCCCGAGAGCGCTGCGCGGTTGAGGTCAAAAGTTATAAAATGCCTTCGAGCAGCATACATAAATCCGATTAGCGGGAGAAAAACAACCGAGCGCTTACAAGGCTTTTCCTGTAGAAAACGTGCAAACGTGCGCGGTGGGCACAACTACCCCAGACACATCCCATGAGTAGATTCTAGCCGAGCTCCATAAAGAACGTTCGTGCGAAAGTTTAAACTCGTTAGAAGCCAAGACAATCGTTTCCTAAACGGGAGTGACCACTAAGCCGCCTCTCACTTACTCGTTCACTCGGTCCTCGAATGCAAAAGGAAGAAAAGTACGAGGAGACGCAAACACGCTCCTGTAGAGGAGAGACGTCGAAATAAATAAAGAAGCCGCTCCCCCCCCTTTCCCCGATGTTGGATCAGTAGCTAACCGTTTGCTGTTGTTGTGAAGGGAGTAATTGTTATTCCGGCAGTCGTCCCCCTCAAAGTCCTCATTAAGGTGACCGGTTAATTCGACCATCGTCGGTCGACCCGGCCAATCGGTTGCTTGATCAACTTCGGCCGTAGGGACTGTACCTCCGGCGACAGTAGTATCCACCGCGGTCATTGGCTGTCCCAGATGTATGTAGCGTAGAAGAAGACCTGAAGCTGGCTGGGTGAGGCTTCTTGTTCCCTCTATCCCTTCCTCCTCTTGCAACCACAGCAGCAACGATTGTCACTAGCCGCTGTCCCTCGCGGCAGCATCTGCATAATTGTCACAAATTGTGCCCATTACCGGTTCGGTTCAGTGAGGGGACCACCGTCGTCTGGCCGGCTGGCTCCTCGCTCGGCTCGCCGTCCAAGATGGCGAGCTGGACTGACTGTCTGCTTGCCTTCATGCTCGTATTTCCTGTCGCCCGTCTGCCGCGTCCTCCAGTAACAGCAGAAGCCGAGATCGTCCTGGAGCCGGCAGTCAGTCGGTGGGCCGGCGGTCCCACCGAATGTTCGACGCTATGAGTCTGATGGCCTGACTGTTTTAATAATCAATGAGCACTAACCTCCAGTGAGCAGATGTTTCATCTGACTCGGTAGTTTGTTTGTGTCGTCGTTATGCTTCATTGCTCTCGGTAGTAAACGCTCTGTCCATCGGAATCAAAGTGAGTCCAGCGACGTTCGCTGTGTCTCTCGCGACTCGCGAAGCCTCCCCTTCAGGGGAGGGGAGGGAAACATAATTGGTTGGGGGAGGATCCATGGGACGTTCTTCCTTTTTTCTTTCAGTTCCGGAGTTTGGTACGAAAATGTGCTTCCTTGTACAGAACGAAAGGGGCTGGATATCAAGTTTCTGAGCCCTACTTCCAGACAGTAATGAGTGGTAATACTTCTTCGTCTACGGATCCTGCTGCTGCCGCCGCCGCCGCCGCAAATGTATACGACGGACAGCCGAACGGAGAGGTGGCGTATCAAATGGATCACCCATATGAGACGAGCCGTGTATCGTTGAGTATCGAGATGCTCGACCGATGCTATGATGGAATCTCGAGTCTCCCTGTATCTACTGGATGGGGAGACGGCGCGAACGATGGGGGAGGGCGTGGAAGGGGCGACCAGGGAACGATGAGCGAACACAACACGCAATATGAAGAGAGCGGCGCGATTGACTCAGAGGACTCGGGCCAGCCCGCTGGGGACCGAGAACGCCAGCGAGTCCTGAGGAGGGACGACGAGGGCGACGTCGTCGTCGTCGTCGAGCGGGTCTCTGACGAGCACAATCAGATATGACTGTAGCATCTCGGGGAACACCGAGCTCCTTCAGGTAGCCAGAGCTCCTAATGGAAAGCTGATGTCTCCTCTAAGAGATGTGTCGCCTTTTAGCTCGAGCGACCCATCTGACGGACTAGAGAGCGAGCAGGCCGACCGACCGACCAGCAGACAAACAGACCAACTGTCAGACTCTTGGACGAAGGACAGGTCGACCAGCAGCAGGACGCGCAGACGAACACCTCTATAGCGACGTCCACGAGTTCAGACCACCTGGCTGTTCCCATCGAGCAAGTGAGGAGATCCCATTCTCCGCTGCCGCCCACTATCTCCTTCCACTCTCCTTATCAAAAGCAATTGTTGCTCTGCCACGGCAGCTACAAATATCCCTCGCCGTCCAGGACACTTACACGGAGCAGCGAGAGCGAACTCTCGCGAACAAGAGGGTGGACGAAGGAGTCTTCCGTGGCAAGTGTCTGCACGCTGACGCCTCAAAGAGGAATTCCGCTACCGGATCAGACCTCTGGAAGCTCCCAGTTCCTTTGAGAGCTGGAATTCCTGGGAGGAAGAGGCGCCCCGAGCTGTCGCCCATTAGTTTTCACCGGAGAATTCCCCATAAGCGGCAGAAATCTCGGACAATCGCACGCGATTAGAGTAGAGGCGAATTTCCATTTTCTTTTAGGTAGGTTCATAATTTAACGTGATTGGCTCCATAACATATGAATTTTAATAAACATCTATTGTAGCGCTTCGCATTGCAATGATGTGTGAAACTCAACTATTGCTTTTATTTTCCTCCTCAGAACTTCGAGGAAATTGTGACGGCGAAATAGAGCGTCATCGCTGAAATGAGCTCCGGAGTCTCGCAAAAAACACTTTGGCTGCTCGGTGGACATCGGTCTCGTCAAATAAGGTCCAAAGTCCCGCGTACAAGGAACCCTGTCAATCACAAATCGAGCCGCATATAAGGAACCTTACGCATTAGGAACCACGCGTATAGAGAACTTTCCGTATAAGAAACCTCGGGTATAAGGGACCTTCCACATAGGGAAAGTCACGAAGTTCTTTTTTAGTGAGGATCCCTTCGAGGGAGGTTCCTCATAGGCGAGGTTGCTAACACGAGAGGTTCCCTTTACGAGTGGTTTCCTTGCAAGCGGGACTTTAGGCACTTGTATTTCAACAAATGTCTTTCGAGTATTTCCTTGGGATCATCACAAGGATATCTGTGCGAAGAGGTGGGATCGGAGGGACGAGATCGAGACTCGATCCGACGTACAGCTAGACCTCGAATTTCACCAACGTCAGCGGTTGCGGTTTGGGCTCGCAGCTGTAGCCAGAGGATTTCGGCTCCAGATCGAAAGGTGCTCCGCTACGAGTTTTCACAGATTCGACTCTCTGGAGGAATCTCGTGAAGAGCACGAACATCACGGTGAAAGCCATCTTCTCACCGATGCAAGCCCGAGCACCGACTCCGAATGTTGTCAACTGTGCCACGCGGTCTTTTCTCAGAGCGCCTTCATCGCCCAGGAAGCGTTCGGGCTCGAAGGTTTCGGGATCTTCCCATATCCTGGGATCGTGATTAGCGCTGTAGAGATTAAAGAGGACGGTGGTATCCTTCGGGATCGGTCTCCCTGCGAGAGATGTGTCGCAGGTGGTGAGGTGCGGCAGCGAGAATGGTGATACGGGTCGGATACGGAGCACTTCCAAGATGCAAGCGTTTATGAAGGGACATTCGTTCCGATCGCTCGCCCGAGGTTGGCGATCCCCGATCTGTGATTCGATTTCGGCTCGACAGCGAGCCAGGACCTGTCGGGAACGAGCAAACGATGAAAACAGCTACATGGACGATTAGACACTTCGAACACCGAATTCCGAGCTGATGGATCTTCGTACCTTTTCGTCGGCGAATGCGTATAGTAAGAGCCATTTCAGTGTTTGACTTGTCGTCGGCGTGGCCGCTCCGAAGACATCGTAAACGATTTGCGTGAGATTTCCTTCGGTGAGATATTTGGCTATACCTCTTGCTTCCTCTTCGGCTTCCAGCTTGGCGGCAACAATGGCGTCGGTGAAGTGTCTTATCTGCGAAAAAAGTCTCTATCCCAGCCGTTCAGAATAATTATCATTGGTCGATTCTACAAGAATCACTCCTGAGTGTTTCTCTCCGCTTCGCCACCACAATGGCGTCATCTTGCATGGAAGCTTCATGAGACCGATTGAAATTCGATGAGATATTTTCCAAGATTCCCTCGGAGCGGTTTTCGATCATATTTCGTCGGCGGCTTATCCGCCGGCATCCGATAGATTTGGGAGTATGGGATCTATAAAATAATTTTAGCACCGACCTGACCGGGCTCAAAGGTTTCTCGAGCCTGTTTGTAGAGCCGCATTTCGAGAGCGATGAATTCGTCAAATAGCTCTTTCGAGCGGTTTTCGTAGCGCGAGAGAAACAGTCTGAGAGGTGGCATGAAATCGATGAGGAATACCTGGGGGGCAGGAATTTATCGTTTTTTCCGCATCGACCCTTTTTTTGATTACAGACATTCGCCGTTATAGGCAATCGGCTCTCTGTCCGAGGTATCACGCGTCGTCATATCGGCGGAACTGAAGCTCTAGGTACGCTTTGCTTCGGGCCGCATCTCTTACTTTCGGCAGAAGAAGCTTAAGCTCGCCATTGATTCGGCGGATCGTACGGAGGTCCTCGCTGTCCCTCTCGTACTTCTGGCCGAAGACGCACAGTCCTATGATATTATGTAGAGCCTCCAACATTTCCGCATCCAAATCGAAGGGTTCTTCGGGGCTGCTGTGATCGATGATGTCGTCAATTACTTCGGTGACGAGGTTCTCGAGGCCCTCGGTGACGGCGTATTTCCGAACGGCAAGATGGGCCACCTGGAACATCGGAGGAGCTTGTTGTCGGATCGGAATTTCAAGGAGCCGTCTGTCGGAGCTCTGAAGGAGTGGTCTCGTTCGCGTGTGAGTTCCTCGAATATCTGAACGGGACTCCAGTGGCAGACGAAATCCACCTTGAATCCCGAAAAACTCACCTTCCTCAAGGCCTCCCACTCCGGCCCGAACTTTCCAAATACAATGTCTTCATTGCCTCGTTTCTGCAGGGTGCCCACGCTGAACTGTAGCCTTCCGGCAAGATGACTTCGCTTAGGCCCGACTGAGGCTTCTTTGATTATGCTCAAATCATTCGCCACAACGATGGGGAACCAACCGAACCACAGGGTGAGGGGGTCCCCGTATTTCTGACCTAGCGAGGGTCCCATCTTATAGAAACACTGAGGCCAGCGCTTCATCGACCACAGATTCCCAATGACCGGGAGCGGGAAGGGTCCACTGGGGTAACGTCGCACTTTTCTCCAGAAGGCAACGAGCAGGACCGCCAAGGTAGCGAAGAGAATTGTTGGGATGGTCCCGAGCATGTTTGTGGGTTCGTTAAGTAATCGTAACAAGTGCAAACGTTGAACCGCCTTCCAATCAAGCGAGCGGCCGAACGAGCGAGCGAGCGACCGAGAGACGAGGAACCTGTCAGGCGAACTGTTCGAATGACTCCAACACCAACAACAAGTTAGCTCTCGACCAGTCAATCGAGTGTGGGCGACTTTGTGAGCTGTCAAGAACAGGCTAATCGCGCCTCAGCTATTGGTGCCGCCGCCACCGTCACTCGGCCTGCTGCCAGAACAGCGCGAGGAGTGCTCGATGCCGTCGTCCACGACAACGACGGCGGCGGCCGTGCCGACCAAAACACTGGTAAGCGCCGCGCTCTTTGGAACGTCAGCTGTTCGGTGGGAGAACGATCGAGCGAATAGACGCATAGCTCCGCCGCGTCACTGTAAGGGAGAGAAAAAAGAGGAGAACGTTCCGCCAAATAGTGGGGCGCTCCTCGCGCGCTCACATGGGAATCGCCGGCGCCCGAATCGAAAACATGCTGGTCCATCGCGGCGTGAACAAACGCACTTCGCCCAGTCTCTTCCAGATTCCGGGGCATTCCAGACTCGGCCCGAGGAACGCACAAATCACGAAATACAGACTGGGATCGTCGGCAGACGTGGCAGAATTAGATCGAAGAGGTAATTTGGGAGCGAATGTCGATGTCTCCTGCAGAAGTCGTACAGATCTCTCGAGAGACCTGTGAGTAGCTTGATGTTAAGACTCCATTTAGATGCTTTCCCTCGTTGTTCGGGTTCTCGGCGGCGGCGGCGGCGTCGTCGTTTCCACTACCGACTCAGTCTTCCCAGTCTCCTCGCTGCGCGTTCCGCTTCCGTCGCACCCTAAGACCCTCCGAGAGCCGGCCGCCGTCGCCGCCATGGCTCTAAGAGAGCCCCCCAAGAGCGCAGGTCAAGGCACAGAAGGCCTTTTGTATCTAAATGACCTTTTGATTACTGGTAACTCGTTAGGGACCAGGATCGATTTGTAGCGTTTTTAGCAGTACCAATGGTGTCGGCGGACCCTCTGCCCAAAGCGGATACATGCGCTCACCGTGCCAGGCGGGAAACGGACGAGAGACCCTCTTGTTCCGAGAACCGGCTCAGACAGTCAACAAGAGCATTTGAAATTTTTGGCCGACGCACGGAGTCGCTCGCTCGCCCAATCCCTCGTCGTCACCGACGTCGGTCGCTGCCTTGCTCGTGGAGTTGAGGGGGGGGAAGCGGCAGGCATTCTCGTACCGACGGTTCTGTCGTTCGTCGTGGTAATTTGCCGAAATGTGCACCTGCACGAAATGCGTCTCGGTGCCCCTTCGGCTATTCTTGTCGCAGATTTGCGCGTGGCTGCTGTCTCGACGCTTTCCACCGTATCGCACGACTATCGGACTCGCACTCGCTCTCCCTCCCTCGGCCCCGTGCTCGAGCTTTTTTCTTTCAGATTCTCAGACGGCTGTTCGAGAAGAGCGCGAACGCATCTCCGCCGAGTCGAGCTATCACCACCACCAGCAGCAGCAAGGACAACGACGCGACGTCAATACGGAAGTTCCTGCTAAGAAGCAGTGCAGGAAACGGGTTCAACTCGATATGACGCTTTCTACGCGTTCTCCGACGACCCCGAGAAATTTCCCTGCCGACTCGCTGGCTGGAGTCGATGAATCAATAAGAGCGCGTATAAGGGAAGCGCTTCTCTTCGGGTAATAGTTTTTCCCGCGGAAGTGTCCAGCGGTGAGGCGGGACTGGGCGGTCAGACTAGAAGGTCACGTCTATAAATGCAATCAACGACCAACGACGATTTCCACTAAGCGACCTGATTCGTGTGAGCTCCCGAGAGAAGTTGGACACCGAGAGTCGTTGTCGCTGCCGCCGCCGCTGCCGCCGCCGCAGTCTTACTGGATAGTAATTTCCTCTTCTGAGCGCGGATGCCCCGTCGTTCGCTCGTTTGGTCGGTCGGCCAGGCGGACGAGAAACCCGACTGTGGTGGTTTGTCCCCTCAACCTCTGCGCTCTCGCATAAGGTACGCGGAACGACCACGCAGTACCAATTTGCGGTAGAAGCCCCTCGCTGCATAGCCGAGCGACGGACGGACGGACGGACGGACTGACTGACTGACGAAGCGACAGACAGACGGTCGGACGGACTCTCCGACCGGCCGGCACGGCTGGCCCGCTGAACGGTCAGCTGTCGCGGCTCTTCACGATGGCGACTGGAGAAGTGGAGCTGAAGACGACAGCCACGGCTGAGACTCCGATGGACGCGGAATGAGCAAAAGAAGTAAATGCGGCAGCCTCCGAAGCGGGCAAATGAGTTGTAGGGGAACGATGTCTTGACATTCGCCGACGGCTTGCCCTCATCCCCCAACCGGATGCATCCGGAAACGATCGGAGCTGGGCCTGTGAATCGACAGGGACTTTCCGACCTCTCCGCCTGGAGCGTTCGACGAGCAACCTTCAAGCGTTCGGCAAAATTTCGGCGGGTCATCTCGTGAGTCGGCATTTCTCTATCCGTCTTCGAGAAGAAATCATTCGATCTGCGGTGTCGAAGAACATGGCGGCTGCCCGCTTCAGGATAATATCGGCTCAGCGTTCCGTGTCTGGCCCGCTATAAGCTTGGGATCGCATCTCTCTCATGAATTCCCAAAGTGGCTTTGAAGATACGTCCGACTGACGAGTGAGTGGTGGGGCACGACTGCGCCGAGGTAGCGCGCGCTGCGATCATAATCTTAGGAAAGTGCCAGAGGCCATGCAAGAGGTATTTGCCGAGCTCCGACCAGAGATTATTTTTCGAATCATTGTTGGCTCAAAAAGACGAGGAACAGTACTACGCTGTTAGACTGTTTGAGGATGGACGGTCTGCGCTAAGCCTAAATCCTTTTCATATGAGACAACTATGAAGAGGAAGCGGCTATAATTCCCCCCTCTTGACGGAAAGAGGGAGGAAAAAAAAGAAAACGAACCAGCTCCTAAAAGACTTTCAAGAGAGCAGCTTAGCCCCTAAGTTGCACGATTTCTGAGGCGCACACTCGTCGCCGCCGCCGCCGTAGAGTAAAAGCATCACTGAGGAGCAGCAATTGGGCGTGAGCTAAAAAGAATATAAGGGATAGAAGAGACGAAATAATAGCGAACGAAAAAGCTCGGGGAACGAGTAAAAAGCGACCGAGCGTCGGAGAAGCGGCGGCAAGGAGCTTTTATGCGGGACCAGAGTTGAACACAGCCCTGACGTATTCGTTGCTAGCGGTGGCGGCAAACGATCGCGGAGCAGTCTCGACGCCGCGACGCCGGCGTATTGTCCGGATGGAGATTCTTTTTTTGGCCAAAATCGAACTTTCGCAACTCGATCGAAACAAAGAAAATGAAGTGTCGAGCCTCCGCCAGCATCAAAATTCGTCGATGGACGGAGCAATGAATCGGACAGACGGCCTCCTCTCTATGGTTTTGTCCGCTCGCTCTCAAGCTTCTCTCTCCGGCTTCTCGTCGCGCTCTTTTCCAGTGGCCGTCAACGCCCCCCGCCTCGCCGGCGGCGGCGACGACGACGTCTTCGGAGCACAGTCCCTCTCCTCCGTTTCGGGGCCATCCCCGTCTTGGGATCTGATGTTAAGCAGCGGGTCGCGATTTCCTTTGAAGCTAGAGGGTTCCCACCCGGTGCGCAGCCGTCCTAGTACAACTAATGGTCGTTCCAGATGGAAATCGGCGCATACATCCCTTGATGGCGAGCGGAGAAAAAAACATTGCAGCGGCAAGCCTCGTGGCGCGCACTTCAATCAAAAGTTCCATGACCGACGACAAGTTGCTTGCAGAGGCATGTATTTCCGGCGTTTGCATAGCAGAGGAGCGCAGACAATCATCTGGTTGCAACACAGGCAAGCGAGCCAATCAAAGCGAATTCGTTGCGTACCATGAGCTCTCTTGTTGAAGTACATCCCGATTTCATAGCGGATTCCATGCCCTTGTCCTCGAAAAGAGAGCGGATAGAGTAGCTTGCTCGTCAGTCGTCCTCATAGGAAGTCCGCCGACTCGAGCACAGACGGGGGGGGGGGAGGGGGCAGAGGGACGGACACGCCCTCCACTCCGAAAATTTCCGGGCTCCGGTACTGGAGTACAGGCTTCCGGAGAGGCATCGTCCCTTAGAAATTTCGGACCCTACCCCCCCCATATTCCTGCCTTCCCTCCCCAACTCCCCCGCCCAATGGAATATTTTTAGAAACTACCGTTGATTGAATACGTATGCCATTCTTTCGGGTAATTCACGTTCCGGTAGGTATCAGAATAAAGGGGAAAACTCGAAGCTCTCGTAGGAAAACTCTCGTAGAATCATGGCTCCGAAGAATCCACTTCTCTGTTCGTGGAACCCTCAGCCTCGAGTCGCAAGCTCCCTCACACAGTAAACTGCTAGAAGATAGCAGGGCCTGGAAACAGGAAACCGCTCCAGACCTCTTGAGGCCGCCGCCGCCGCACACAACAACTGATAGCGAGAAACAAAGGCAACGCTGATACCAGGAAAGGAAGCTCCGAGGAGCATCACGGACGAAAGTTGCGACTCAGCCACTGCTCGAGTCGGTGACTCGTTAGGGTGGTCACAAGCCCGGTCGCTGACAGGTCGCCCGCTTGGTCACGCTGATAAATTTGTTCTAGGGTCAAATCTGTTCGAGGCTTCGACTTCTTGACTCGTTGACTCCTTCAGGGATTCATTAGGCCCGCTGTCGGCGGCTCGGAGCTCTGTCGGTCGAGGGGGAGAAGCAACGAGTCGTAATGAACTCGCAAAAAGCGCGAACTCGTATCTTGTTATGGGGCTCGTCTGATTTAGTTTCTTTCTCGTTTTTTCTTGTTCTCGTGGAAGACGGAGCAATTTCAGGAGGACGTTGCTGAACGAGCGGAGGCGTCTCGGTAGTGGTCGGAGTGTTGATCGGAGATTCTCGACTCGGGCTCCATCATCATGGCTTCGCCAGGTCTGAGCGAGCGGGCCGACATAACTAACCGTGTGCGGCCCCGTCCGTTTTGTCGGTTGGCCGGCCGGCAGGCTGACTACATTTTGACAAGTTCAACGAGTTGGTATAATATGTATGCGCGCATGTGAGAGCGCGGGTCGGCTCTCTGCGCTGATATTACCCTCTAAATTTGACGAGCGCACCAGGAGCGCCATGTTAGCCAAATTGCTCGCTTGCGGTCGCCGTGTGCAGCAGCCGCCGCTCCTGCCGCCAAAATCTAATCCATCACATTCAAAGCTATCCATCCAAGCTCAACGATGTCGGAACACCTCGAACCTGCTCGCTCGTCGCAACAGCAGGAGGAGCATCAACGACACTGTCGATCGCGCTCGCTCCACCGAGGCGACGCACGGCAGCTCCACGACGACGTTGTACCGCTGCTACCACCGTCGGCAGCGTGACCTTGCGGTCGGTCTCTCGGTTCGGTCGCTGCTCCTCCTCGTCCTCGTCCACCTCCTCCGGGCTCGGTGTGTCCTGCTCTTCCCGCTCGGGTCGACGGAGAAGAGAATCAACAACTTTGAAAACTTCGAGCGCCGACTAGAGAGCTCGTCGACCTGGCCGTCGTCGACCTGGCCGTCGTCGTCGTAGTTTCCCCGCGTAGAGAAGTCGACATACATCCGGCTTTTAGCCTCTGAACTGAACGGAGATAATGCCCTGGCATCATTGGCTTCGTTCTATTGTCGGCCATGACAGTGGAGCCGCGGCCCTCGTCGCGGTCGTCTTATGGAGAATAATTTGCTTCGCTGAGCCGGGAGAACCAACGACGGTCGATCGCCTGGGAGAATTCCCTTTCGGTCGAGAAAGAATGCACGGCACTCAGGGTGCTCGACCACCACGGCCACCACTTTCGTTGTCGAGTCAGTCGCCCGACTAACTGACGGCTCGGACCGTCTCTTGATTCCTGGAAGCTTCACCGCTCTCGGAAACGAACTCCGCCTATTGGGGACATTTTAGTTTCGGAAGAGAAAGTCTGCGTGTCGGGGAGGCGAGACTCGCCCGTATGGCCTTGATGTCTCAGCCAGAAGAGTCGTCACCAAGGTTCGAGTTTTGTGTAAATTTCGCCCTTTAGCCGAAAATTCATTCCGCCCTCGTCTGTATCCGATCGAAGTTTGAGTGGCGAGAACAAGTACGCGAAAGTCTCTGTCTCCGACACAGAATATTCCGAGTCTCTGAAGCGTGAAACCTGTCTCCCCGCCTCCGGTCGATTGAGCGGGTGGAAAATCTGGATGTTTTCGTGAAAATTCCTCATCGACAACTATCCTCCGCAAACGATCCGCTCCCAATCTGTCAGTGGAAAAAAGCGATAAGGGTAGAAAAATTTCCACGCTCCCCCGGCCCCGGGTTTTCTCCATCTCTTCTGTAGGGGAAAGGCCCGCGCCGAGATAAAACATTCAGACTGCAAAGATTCCGATCTGGTCATCCGGTGGCTCGACTTATCGAAGCGATTCCTATCATTGACGTCAGCTCGCTCGGAATCATTGTCCTTATGATGGTGGAGATTCTCATGAGAAACCCAGATTAATCCGCCCCCGATCAAATTCAATCTCTCCAATACGTATTCTCCACTTGATTCCTGAACATCGAAACGAACTCGCGACTATGAGCTCGCTAATAAACGCATATCCGTCCAGCTCCAATCGCTCGAACGCTCAACAAATTATCTCCACCGAGAAATGTCCGAATCATTGAGACAGAGATTCTTGAAGTACTTTCTATCTTACTACAACGAATCAGTTTGCACAACTTAACGACGAGCGAGTTTATCGTCGCGGCGAGACGGTCAGATGCTAGCGGCGCTAGTTGTCCCGAGGAATCGAAGAGTGGGTACTCTCTTCCTTTCATTCCACCTCTCCTGAATAGCATCGAGGCGAAACGCGACGAAAAATACTTTCCGGAGTCGTTGTGAGAGCCGAGGGATGCAACTCCGCGAGCGTTGTGCGTTTAGTTCAATTGGGTGAGCCGTATGAAAGTGGAAGTCTGGCGCGAAGCGGACTTCACAGAGCGCAGACTCAGCGGCGATCCTTCATCGGAAACTTCCTCGAATCCGTCTCTCTGCTCAGGGAAAAGGTGAGGTCTGCTCTAGAATTAGGTAGCCTTAGCCGATCGAGAATTAATTCGGGAAAATTACTCCCCGCCGCCCGCCGCGCGAGCACCGAGTCGTGCCGGGGTCCGCCGCCGGGCCTCGTTGGGTGACCGGCTCATTGTCGCTAAAAAGCCCCTTTCATAATACTAATCTGATGGGGTAACGTGATCACAAAAACAAACATGGACTATCAGAAACAGCAGCAGCAGCGGCGGCGGCCAAAGAGAGAAAAATTCTCATATTTGCTAAAAGCTTAAACTGCTGGCTGTTGATGACTTTGCTCTCTGGTGGCTCACTTAGGAACTTTCGAATTTTGTAACGAGTTACCAAAACCTTCCGTCGTCCCATGGACGAGCGAGGTAGCGGAGAAAGGCACGCGCGCGAGCGCTCGCGGACCGAGACTCGTGGCGCATGAACTCTTCTGGCACGCGAGAGCGACGTTTTTGTCTTTTACCCGAGCTGATATTTTTGCTTAGCCCCCCCCCCAATCTGTGGGAGGCATCATTGGCAGCTCCTTCCTCCCGCTCAGAAATTTCGGTTTCCTTTGGGAACAGCTCCCGGTGCTCGAAATGAGTTTTCACCGCTCAGAATTCTTTTGTGAATCTCCCTCCTATAGGGGCGGGGGAGATTTCCTTCCTGCTGATGGTTCCTGTTTGAAACGGCCATTTTCTTAGAAAAACCGTCGAGTGGCAATCTTTCTCTGTATCGCACTTCTCCGACTCCGAATTCCCGGCTGCGATCATTTTGACGAGTGCGCGCGTTCTCGACAATGAGAATTTCCTCATCTAGCAAGGGAACGATTCCGACGATGTTCACGTTTTGAGTACCAGGTCTTTTCCCTGCATCTCACCTTCCGCTTGTTCGACAAGCTGCGAATTCGCGCCGAGCGACTCTGAGATGCGAGGGCGCTGATGGCGACTCCCATGATACCTATCTAGGGGACAGGAACTAAACTCGCTTCACTGTCATTATTTTACTCTTCGCCATGAAACTCGAACTCCGGAAGCCGTCAAGCGAGATCCGCCGTCGTCCATCGGAAAAACCGTCAGCTCAGTCCGCCGTCCGATGATTTTCTGGATAAGTCGGAGCGGAACTCGTAGGCCGGACGCGCTCGCTGGAAATCTTCCTCGGAAGCTTCTAGTACGACGATGACGTGCTCAGAAATCCTGTATCGCTTCAGATAAGAGTAATTGGCGATACACCCGACGGGGAGTTTCCGAATCGTGTTAATGGTTAATGGTTTATTGTGATCTAGATTGAGGTGTATATCTGTTTGTTTGTATATACATAGTCAATCAGCCTTTCATATCAGGCGCGAAATTCAGCAGATCGTTGTTTGTCCCAGTCCTCCAGGATTCTTTTTGTCCTTCTTACTTCGGTTGCATTGTTTGCTTCTTCGTGGAGTCCGAGACGGCACAGGACTCCACGAAGAAGCATATTGACGAACTACCGACCACAGTCCGGGAAGAAAATGTGACAGCAGTAAGTCATGCGGATTCTGAGTAATAGTGGTAGTGCTCACAATCCCCCACATCATGAGCTTGACCACGATTTTTGGATTCGACGTCTGGGAGCGAGCAATTGACGGAAGTTTTGCCGGCGGTTCCGGACTTCGAGAACTCTCACACAGTGTTTACTCAACTTGTTCCACGATAAACCCTCAATTGAATGAGTCGCCTTCTACTAACAGCGAATGTTTCTGTTTGACCGACCGCTATCGAATGTCGGGATTTATTCTGATTATAAGTGAAAGACTCATTCAGAATGTTCCACGGTTGAGGGCTAGTCATTTTCACTCCCCCATGACGTGCGCGAAACGCTTCATTTATATCGTTGCTTTCGCCTCGTACGAGGCGTGTGTTTTTCTGCCTTGTGTTCCCGGCTTTTTCTGCGTTCTTTAGCGGCGGATACTAATGTGTTGCCTTATGCGAGCCACTGGCTCTAACAGCGATCGCGAATGAGTTTCTGAAGGCTCGCGAGGCTCGCACTACAGTCGCGGTGACCTACAGCAGGTGAGCGATTCACACTCTCTCAGATTGGAATTTTCGAGTCAGAATCGAATTCGAGTCGTTCCTCGAAATCCTAGCCATGGTTCGCGACACGCTTCACTTTGCAAGCATATGCGGCGGCGGCTGTGCGATGACGATCGATTCAGAGCAATCACATTCGACCTTGAACCTGGTGAAATTGAGTCGCATAGAGGCCCGGCGTACCGTGGGACCTCCGCAATTCGATGGAGTTCCTCGATGTTGCACACAGAGAAAAAACGGAAAACCGGCGACTTGATCGGCTGGAATCATTCGTAGAACTCGAGCGCAGAATAATTTACCATACCCCGGCGGAAGGACGCACTTTTCCACCTCTTCCGGAGTATCTGCGTGCATTAGACATCTCCGATGTCCTTATCGAGATGACACGGAGGAGGCGAAAACGGCAACGACAACGGCAGCAGAAACTGCAGCACTTGTCAGCCCCTGCGTGGCAAAGTGTTTCGAATCGGACTGTGCAGCTCCCTGTTTTTCTCTCGCATCCCTGTGAGCTATCCAGCCAGCCACTCAGCCGAGCGAGCGATCGAGCAAGCCAGCCAGCCCGTCCGACTGGGGACAGAGCCTGCACAAGAGCTCCCACCTGCAACGGCAGCAGCAGCAGGTAGAGACAGCGATGTACCTCTGGGACGCTTTTAAGTCTTACAAGTCTTTTCTCCGCTTACTGGCAGGCTCGAACGCCTGCGCTATCGTCCCTGCCGCTACCGTTACCGGTGCCGCCGCTGCTTTCGTGAACTGTAAAACGTGTCGGATCCCCAAGGCGTTGATGCTTGCCGGCATTCGACTCGAACTCAATCGAGGAGGAACGAATACGAACCGTCACCCTGTGAATACGAAAGTCCGAATCCCAGCCGGCATGGCGTGCACCTTGTTCGTAGCATGTAGGTAGGTAGTAACTACTCGAATCGGGGGCTGGGACTAGGAGACGACGACGACCACGATATCGAGAGAGTCGCCAGTGATATGGGGAATAGAATTGAATCGTATTCGGGCAGGCTCGCCAGCAGGCACTCGAAAGTGCGAGTGAATGAATAGCGAATCCGGCCGAAGTTCTCGTGTTTCTGTTTGTCTTCGGGCAGTCTGGCGATTGACCTTGCCGCCGTTCCTCAATATTATTATAATTGTTGCAGCTGATGGTAATGGCTGCTGCGGCGATGGTGGTCGCTGCGCTGAACGCGGGTCACACTGTACGCGCATCACGTCGAATTTAGTCTCTAACAGCGTCAAGGCCACAACATCAACTCAAATCAATTCTAATTATACAGATTGTCCGCGAGCAAGCGGGTGGTGGATGAACACCCCGCTACTACACAGCTAGCGCGACAGGACGGCGCGGCGGCCGGACATCATTCCTATTATAAAGCGCGACATCGGGGGGACAAAAATGTTTCCCGATACCGGACATAACTTCCCAACTGGATATTTACCCTGCCCACACTCGTGAAAGGCCGTCGTCTTTCACGGTTTCACTCGAGAAACGACGATAAGAGCTTTCCGATCATGCTCTACTTGGCCTCGACTCAAGCTGTGAAGCGTTCCGCAAGAGAGCGTCGATTGCGCATTGGCTCATTGACTGCCTCCCGTCAATCAATCGATTCTCATTCTCACTGCCTTGACTGTCACGTGCGAGGCGCTCTGTTTCGAGTTTCTATTCAATCTATTCATTAATCATTGAGCAATCAATAAAATCAAGCATCAGATCTGAGCGCTTATGAGACATCAATCAATGAATCTCGATTCCTACTATCAATTCTCTCGGACCTTCCCGGGCTTAGGGACCAGCCTCTCCCTTCTCAGGCTTTATAGCGACAGTTTCACTCATGAGTCTGCAACGGCTTTCAGCTTGAAACCTAAATTCAATCCCACTTCCTCTTATAAGGCTGCAACGAAGTGCTTCATCGCGCAGGTGGAGTGTGTTTCACTATTCTTCTGTTCTTCATTCTCAATATTCCGCAGTTTGATCTCTACATAATCGGAGAGGAGCAGAGAACTCGAAGACTTCCTCAAAGCTTATAGCCGACTTTCTGTTGTTGTCACACGCGGTCAGACGAAATTTGAATTTTCAAAATTGTATGAAATGCCGACATTCTTAGTTTCGCCCACACATCAAACGGTTCTCCTGAGACGCCCCGTAGAGGCCAAATCACGGAGCATCGTTCCGAAATGAGAAAGCTGCATTCAGTTTCGTGGAAGCGAGACCTTCGACACGGGATCTCATGGAGACGGGATCCGCGATGAGTCTCTTATACGCCGACATCTCACATATGGAGTCTTTAATGACCCAGGAGTGCTTGCGGACCCGGGGAGTGGCGATGGGAATCAGTATCTTACTCGCGTATTCTCTCATCGGAGGGCTCGACTATCTTCGGCTTTGCGTCTCTGCTTTTGCACTCCTCGATTCTTTGATTGACACGCGGTCTCGACGCCTCATTATTCGGGAGTCATGCGTTAGGAGGCATTGCGGCCGGCACCCGGGCGTGAGCAGCCGTGAGGGCGCGAAGCGCCCGCACGGCTGGTGGGGAATAATGCAGCGACAAACAAAGTTCATTCCGTGATCGCGGGAGCGATTTGCGTGCTCTGAGAAACAACTCGAGTGCTCTCCGAGTCTGATGGGTTTTTACTAATGTTCCGATGAATGCGCGGATTCATCGGGCCAAACAAAGTAGCAAACGGGAGAATCGACCAAGCGATCGATCATTGATCAATCGAATCTTACGCTAATACCCGAACGAATTCGGACTCAGTGTGCGGATCGTCGCACGGCTTTGATTCTCCGGTGGACTTCGTGTGGTTCCAGCGCCGCTCATTCGTTCAACATTCTCCCGCGGCTGCCCCGGGGTTTTGTCGATCTGACGATAAGTCCCCATCGAATGTACACCTTCAGACACCGACTAATAAATGAGGAAGTCATGTTCTTCGGCCTTCCTTTGCGAGCACAGAACTAGAGGGAAAGTAGGGTTCTGAAGTTCCCCAGATTGGGATCTATATCGAGAGCTTGGTCGATGGATGATCGTCGCGTCAGAGCGCCCGACCTTCCGTACCAAAACGCGGCCCCAGTCTGCGACTTCTTTCCGGGAGAGGGCGTCTCTCGATAAGGACGCGGTACATTCCTCAAGGCCTCCGAGAGGTTTCTCGCCGACGCTGACGTCCTCCAAGAGAAAGTCTCAATCCCTGCTGGTGGGAAAAAATGGAGGCTCCCGGCCGGTAGAAATATCAATCTTCGGAATCTGCCCCGGACTCCGACGGCGAGAACACTACAGTTTCGGGTTTCCGGTGAAACCCGGCATTGGGACTCTGGCTGTAAGGTCTCGCCCGAGAGGTATTTCAGTCAGGAATATTCATTGGAAGGAACACAGCTGCCAGGAGGATGGGACGTTCCGTGATTTTTCCGTCCGAAGCATTCACTCATGGTGCGAACAAATCGTGGGAGGCGCCATTGCGGAACCGAACGGTCTTCGGAAATTAGGCTAGACGCATCATCGAGATCCTAAGGGTGCAGACAATGAGTCATCAGGCTATCGGACGAGGCAACTAAAAATTGGAATAGCTCCAAATTGTCTGTGTCGACCCGAATTAGCATCGCAGAGCGTCCCAGGCGTCTCGAACACGCCGTCCGGCGGCACGGCGTCGAGTCTAAAATGTCTGTGTGTTTGGGAGCATGAATTTTATGGCGCTGAACGACATGAACTCTGAGTAAATATTCTTGTCGGAGCGTTTAGCTGGTCGTATTGGACTCCTCGATTGATTTTGGAAGGGCACTCCGTACGTGCCCGGCAGAAGGTCGAATCTGATGCGATAGCTTCCCAGAACTTGTTCCAGAGACGAATTCTAATGACCCCCGCGAGACATTCTATCTGGCACAAACATGCAGAGTCGACGGCGGGCGCCGAGTGTAGCCGTATAAATCATTCCTCTATTTTCTTCTTTACACAAGAATAATATGTAGCGGAAATTTCTGTGGGTCGTACGAAGAACGTTCTCTGGAGCCCAGTCTCGACTAGGATGTAGCGATTACATGGCAGTGATTTGGGGAGAGACATAGATACATTCATCCAGGCAGCCAGCCAGCCAGCCAGTATGAACCATGCATCACTCACTTCCGTGCAGCAGCGACACTTTTGGGGCAGAGGATCAAGTTTCCGTGGCACTGCTCTGTCACCCCGCTTAATGGACTTGTTCATTTCCGGAGCATCATTGAATACGTCAGGAAAAGATTTGATCTTCTGAAATAAGTTTCTCTCCACAGATTTCTGCGTGGGCGTCATGCGCCTTCCGTTGTTTGCCTTGCTGATCTTCGTTCCAATGTCGGCAGCATCGCAGGACGTATTCGATTACTTATTCAGGAGTGCGTCGGATCTCGGAAAGTCAATCACAGATCCATTTTTCGAGCTAGCGAGAGGAATCTTGCAGAAGACGGAACCGATTCTAATTACGGACCCCGATGCCATAGCAGCGAACAAAGGAGTCGTGAGTTCCCTCAAGAGATTTCACTACTGGATTTACCGAAAGGACGATGAATAGAGGAAGAACTTGAGTTTCTGACCTCCGACGTCCATCGTCGGTCGGTATCACTAGGTGGAGATGATCCCTGTGCGTTGACTTTTCAATTTCCGATGGAGGTCATCATCAGCCGTAATCTCTCGAGCCGTCGCTGCTCCTGACAAACGGATTCAAAAATCACAGCTGGACACTCTGGACTTGTCAAACTTCGGATACTCGAAGCCGCTAACTCCCAATCTTTTGTTCCAGGATTATTACATCAGGTACAAAGGATACCCGGTCGAGACTCACAAGATACGCACAAAGGATAACGTCACTCTGACTTTGCACCGGATACGAGGCGCTCCCGGGTCGATTCCAGTCCTACTACAGCACGGAGTCATGAGCTCATCATTCGACTTCGTTGCGAACCTCCGCTCTCAGAGTTTGGGTGAGTTTCTGGCAGACTGATTCGGCATAAGCGGTCGCCCTTCCTCCCCTCCCAGGGAACGGGATCCAGGGGATGACCTGGTCGATGTAGGAGTCGAGGTGTTGATATTTCAATATATCCGTAAGTATTCCAATATCTGTGTTTTCGAGAGCTCGTGGACGGACCGAAGCACGGCTCGGATCTCGCGCGCGCGTTCGCTGCAAGCATCGTGCAATGTCGATCACCTCGAAGAAATAATCCAAAATCGTCAGATTCTCCCGAAGGATGTGCGGGAACTCGGTCGGAACGAATTCGCAAATGGAGAAAAAGTCGCGCATCGTCCCGCGGACTTTGTTGGACTGTTAGCTACGCACCCGCAATACCGGGATCGCCGGAGAAGGAAAAATCATTGCTCGGGATCATTGTTTCGGGGGACTCGGATCCCCTGAAAGTTTTCCGACTCGGCGTCCACGCAGGCTGCAGATGCGGCTCGTGAGAGTGGTCTCGTCGCTGCCGCGATGCGCTCGAGTTTTTTATTGCAGAGCACCGTGTTTTTGGCTGTGTTGTCTGTGGCCTGTTGCAACTGGTTGAATATTCAGGGAGAAGAAGGAGCAGCAGCTGCAGCTTGTCGCTCGGGCCTATACAACTTGTTCTACCTTAGAACTGATGCATGAATTTTTTGTACAGCCACCACAGAGACAAGAGGAAACCACCGCCGCCGCGGCAACAGCGGCCGGACCGTCGGTGTGCCACCGGCAACACGAGCAGACAGGCGTCCCCCGTCGTCGTCGTCGGATGCCTAATATGATCAGTTGCAGGCAAGCCGACGAGTAGCCGAGCGGATGCGCAACTTTGTTTTGAGAAGTGTCTGCAGAACGGGCCAGAGGCCTTAACAAATGTCACTCGACAAGCTTGCACACTCAACGTCGCGGCCGGAAACATTGCTTTCTTTCCGCTTCCGGTTATTAGCGAGTTGCCTGCCTCGCAGCCGTTCGCCCGCTCGCTTCGCAGGCTAACATCCAAACAGATGCCCGACCGCCTGTCGCCGGCCTGCGTCTCAAATCTATCGCGCAATCCATGTCGCTTGCACCACCTCGTCCAGTTTCCGTCGGAACGTTCTATTTCGGCCAAAAGGCGACGCATTACTCTGTCTCTCTCTGTTGGAGCGGGGGGAAGAAGGGGGGAGGGATCGGCATGTGTTTTTCTCCTGCTTCGATCCAATTTTATTTGTTTGTATGTATGACGGTCAATTGTGGACTAGGAGGAGCCGAGAAATAAAAGGCGTTCCAGCCAGCGCGACCGTCGCGTCGCAAGGTCGTACAGAGCGTGCTTCACATCTATCATATATTTGGAATTTCGAAAGGAATCTCACGACTCAGTCGGGAAGGCTATCAAGGAGACGACGTCGGGAGGGAAGGCTATCAAGGGGACGATCCCACCAGCGAGACGTACATATTCATTCAGAATTCTGATCGAAGGGACAATTCCCGGACTTAGTACGAACCATCGAAGGTCTAATAAGATTCTTGACGCTCAGGTTTCATCTTATACGACGAAGGATACGACGTCTGGATGCTGAACTCGAGAGGCAACAAATACAGTAGTGAAAGCGGACGCACGAAGAAGCACTTCTATGAATTCACGTGAGTGAGATTCCCGTCACTTTAGTCAGAGATAATCTCGATTCAATGGAGGAATGTGATCCGACTGGAGACGGAGCTTCGCGGCCCCCGCTCCATCCGCATGCCGAGACAGCGGAAGCGGTTTGCTGAATTAGGAGTCTAACTGATTCTGAGCGATGATCGCTGTATCCGTGCCGCGAATTCTTATGCTTCGGAGATCGGGTCTCAAAGGATATCTCAAGCTCGTGATGGAGTCAAATACCAGCGATGGGCTGCGCGCTGAGAGATTCCTCGACCGCGGTCACGGCTCAGCTTACATTAGACTTCAAAACTTCTCCCACGTGCCTTGTGTCTTAGGGGATTCAGCCGCTCCGATTCCTAGTTGCACGCAAGATTGCGCACCGGTAGAGAACGTTCTACGTGAAGGGACTAACGTCACTATCCGCTATGACGCGCAGCAGAACGTCTAGTGGGGACCTACTTGTTAGCTTAGCATCGGCGCTTCAGGTGGAACTCTCTTGTATACCTTCTCGTTAGGAAACACTAAGCGGGAGCATATACAAAATATTCATCGTGAGGGGCTCGAAAAAGTTTCGGATCCGGTCAGATAGGAGCCAGCCTAATTCAATCAAGCCCTCGGTGAACCGCAGCGGCAGACCAAACAGGACGTCTCCCCCTTGAGGGAAAAAACGAGCAAGCGAAGCGCGGGACGAAGCGGTCTTCCATCTTGTCCGCGATGCAGGACATCGGCCCCGTGTCCTCGAGTCGTGACCTCTCATTTTCTTAGGCATTCCGGGGAAAGTATAATATCACATGGGAACGCAGCGAAGCCCCACACAGTCGGGATCGATGTTTTCTTCCGATGGAGGAAAGCGAATTAACCGCTCTCACACTAAATATCAGTTGGGACGAACTCGCCGCATACGATATGCCCGACAGCATCGATTACGTTTTGGCAACCACAGGCCACAGAAAACTGCATGTCGTTGGACACTCGAGAGGAACGACGATCATGATAGCGATGCTCGCATCGAAACCGGAATACAATCAAAAGGTCAGTATTCTCGCTCGCTGATTCCGCTGAAGGCTCTTGCGCGGTAACGAATCTCCATTGTAAGCCATAAAGTTCTGATTTCAGATTCGTTTGGCCGTCCTCCTATCACCGGTAGTGTTCCTGACAGGAGTGAGTGCGTTCGTTCAGAATCTCATCACAGTTTTCAGCAATCCCGCAGTGGTAAGAGATGATTATTGCAATTTGATTATCGTAATTCTCCATGTCGGTATCCAGCCGCTCCCCGTTCCAAAGTGAATCGCTCTTCACACCGAGCCACATACGATGTATCATGATGAATGTTCACATCGTACTCTCCCGAGCTCCATACTGTGATTCGGTGTGGCGTTCGAGCAAGACTTCTTCAATCTCCGGGCTGAGCTGTCGACTCGAATCCGTGCCTTCTCCGAACCTCGCCCCAAGGCAGAGCTCAAACACCTCCGAGATATTCGATAATGCCCGCTCCCCGAACGTACATACACACACCGCCGCGTCGACCGCTCGTCGACCTATAGAATTTCGAAGACATTGAGCAGAGATAGAGCGGGAGCGAGAATGCGGCCCATATCGGACGTCATTGTTCCGGAGCGTTGGGAGGGCGACAACATTCCGAAGGACCGTTTTCAGAGTCGTAACATTTGAAGCCTACAGAGCGGAATTTGGTTCGGCGGAATTTTGAGTGGTTCTAATATCGTTCCAACTTTTCAGAGATACGCCATAGACGTCTGGACAGAAAACAGACCTCTCTTCACAAATTCCCGCGCGGATCTAGCCTACTTCACATCGAATCCCAGCTTGTGCTCGGCCCGTCTGTGCCCTTTCGCTAACGACCTGTCTGGAATTCTTCTATCGAACAACGGGAATCACAATCAAGTGAGTCGATAGTTTTCGTATCCCCCGCCTCACGGTGGAGTAGTGTTTCTCCGATATCGAGTCGCTCAATGACGTAGACGACGCGACGCTTCTCCGGGGTATGCATGGGTCATCATATTATCTGATCGCTCATTAGAGGGGGATCGTCAAATGGAGGAATCATTGTATTTTCTTCGGAGACTAATCGCTCGATGGGGATGATTCCTCTTCTCTTGGGACTCTCATAAATAATCACCTCAAGGGATGATTGATCGGATTCTAATCATTCTAACACCGTGGATTAATGACCTCTGAGAATGAATCTTGGATACAAGTCCGGTTATCTAATCAACGAGACTGAATGAGATGATCGGAGCACCCGATCTCGTTGTTTGCTGTCAGAATTCGCTTTGGAATTTCATCCGGTCCGTCACGTCGTTTTGTGAGGCTTACTTGGACAACCGCCGAAAAATGTTCCTCAGCAAACAAGTCGAGAAATCGTTCCACGATAAGCAATTGCCCAGACCGATGGTCACGGATCTTTGGACAGCCCTTACAGACGAGCTTCTGAGCACGACCTGCAGAATTTCTATGAGACGTTTGTCGAACAGGCATTTTTCCCGTCACTGCTACATGATGCGAAGAGCTCATGATTTCTCGCCTTCCGATTTAGAGGCCTTCCGGGCTTCGGGAATTCCTGCGCTCCCAGTTCTCATTGGGGTTATTCATTGCGGGAGGAGGCTTGAGCTCGAAGGAGGCTTACCGTGCTCATTCCGAAATTCCTCTGATCTTATCCGCTGACAAGGGCATCGTGCGCGATATCTCCCCCCGCGTAGCATGGAGGGAAATCAAGAGTATCCATAGATGTTCGCGAGCCTCGGCTCGATGTGTCCTCCCCCTTACAATCTCACGACAAAGTGCACCCCATCCCCCGAAACTACAGAATGCAGCTCAATGTGACGGGCTCAATATTCCGGAGATTCCTGCCGTTGAGAGTTTGTTCAAGAGATTGAATTCTTCCGGTGGGTTCGGCGTAGTCTCCAGACTTCTCAGCAACGAGTTGATTGAGTGTTTCATTTGTTGCCAGGACTCAATATTAGAGCTTGCGGAACGCTTCCGATGAACGGAGTCACTGCTATCTCCAAGCAGGCAAAACTGAAGAATCAGTCCAGAAGCTGCATCGAGAGCGAAACCCACGGCGAACCCGAGCTCCCGCCCCCATCCGTCCCTCCCGACGAAGAACGCAAGAGCGGCGCTCCGATGCCGCATATTTAATTTATTAAGCAGCTCGGGTTCTCACTGAAATTCGGTACCTGGATGGTTCTTAGATGTCGAATGGTTCGCTTCTCCGATTTCGAAAGATGGATCTGAGCCAGGAAGTCGATACTGTTCTTCGTCGGTAAACAACTTTCATGACATCAGAAGGAATTAACGAGCAGGATCGAATGTTACGACATCTCTGAATCCAATCTCTCAATCGCTGCCGACCGAAAGCGACCGAGAAAGACAATCTATTCTTTCCGCCGCAAAGTGATTCGAGCTCGGATCGCTCCCTCACAACTGAGACTGTGCAGCGAAGCGCTCACAAATAGGATTTCTCTCCGTCAGGCTCTTCTGATTTTGATTGGGAGAGAACACTTGAAAGAGAGAATCTTTCTCAGGATCCAAATGGAACTCGATCATGACCGAGTACAAGAATGGCGGCCGCTCAAAGACCGTCGTCGTGAGATTTTGCGTTCGCGGGGCGGAGCCAATTTTCTTTCGATTCCAAGCTATTATCATCGGGGGACGGTTGCGACCTGTCGCGCGATTTTCAAGAATGTTTTGGAGCCCGGTGGTCTTGCTCAAGCCTCAGAATGGTCATGATTCGGAGTTTGAGCCGCATGTGGGAATTTCCGGCGGGAAATTTGCGCGCTCTTCGGACTTCAGGAACCCGCGAGACCTCAGAAATTATGTACCGAGGTTCGATAGCCGCCGGTGAGATATGTTTGTCTTTGCTTATGGCGTCCGCTCGTTGCTCTCGGGGTTGGACGCAACGTCAGTATCTCAGACCGCTCAATTCTGGGAAACGATCTCCAACGGCGATCGAACATCCAGCCCAACTCGATGAGGTTGTTTACCTAGACGTAATTGATGGTGGGGGCTCTATTCAAGAAGCCGCGTTCCTATCGATCCCTTCGCCAATCTGTGCTCGATAAGGGGCTCGTAAAGAATATACTACCCACCTGTGTATGCTCTCCCATGCGAGCTTTGGAGATGATCGTGCTGTCCAATTGAATTCGAGCCGTCCGAGAAATCCATAGTAGTCAATAGTCACTACATTATCTACATTTATGCTGGCCCACCAATGACAAAGAGCTTTGCTCTATTTATTTGTTCACGGAGCTTTTACTCAAAGTCCGTCAGTCCGGTGATCCCGCGCCGGTCCCGAGGCTCCGATCGGCCAGCCCCTCTCGACCTCCCCACCCCTCGTTGTTCACAAGCGGTGTCGATTATCGTAGACAACATCGTGCTGTCGGCGACGGTCGACAGCGCATGTCAATTATATCTGGCTCAGTGTTGTATTGAGAAGACAATTGCTCGCCGGGTTAACGCGCATGTTACGCCTCATTGCCGTCGAAGCGATGAGCCAGCCAGAGAACGAGAGGCCAGCTTATCAGCCGACCTCCTGGAATGCTCTTAATGCTATCGCGTTTATCCACCCTAGCTTCCATTAAGGTGCTTGATAGCCGCTGCGTGTGGACCGACTATCGTCCTCGGAGCCAGTTCGCCGTTGCGGAAATTTCCACGAGGAACAATTTTCCGATTCGAGCGATGAGAAAGATTTTGATGATGACGGACGAATCCTCTGCAGGGCAAATCATTTGTCGGAGTGACAATTCGTGGTATGATGAGAGATAATAATTCTTGAAGAACATCTGATGGACCGAAATACGTGCTTGGATGTCATTAGAATTCTCGATCCACTCGCGGTTCGACCGTTAGACGCAAACCGCGCCGGGCACACACGACCTTACGATTTGACGGCCGAACTCGTGTCGATTCTGCGTTCTCTTATTTTCCTACGCAAGGCAGAGCTGTCGTCATTCGTAACCCGTACAACTCGCTCGTTGGTGTCTTCGCCTTTTAGGTCCATGGACGACCTGTACTCTGTCTTGTTTGAAACAGCTTGGGAGCTCAATGCTGTCAAGAAGCACAGAAAGCGTCTGGGCCCTAATTATCCGCTCCGGCAGGAGCTTCATGTGGAGCGGCAGATCGGTATCGCGGATCGCGACTCCGAGCTTGGGGTGAACCTTTGAATACTACGTGAGGAGTCAACGAGATCCTGTTCGTCGTAATGGTCTCCCAGGGAACGAGAACGACGACAGGACATTTCGATTCCTGCAACACGATAGGAGCACTCTCGGTGTCGCGGGCGAAATTAAACTCGGCGCCGGCCGTAATGTTTCCCACTCCTTTGAGATTGCCTTCCATGCAAATGATCTGTTCAAAGTAGGAGCTCAGCTCGTAGGGGTCAAGGCATTGCGCAAGCGCGGAATTCGAGTACGGCTCGATCGGCACCGGTCTTGTTCGGCCGGGGCGTCCTATGCTGACTTTGACAAGGCGACAGCCCCGACGGCAGGATCCTTCTGGAGCTTCGGGCCGGCGAAAAGTCCGACAGGTCGACTCCGTCGTCGCCGAGATATCCGCTCGAAAACCAGTCGCACCTCGGAGAGCCTTCCCCGAGCTCCTTTCTCCCCGATTGCGGGCGCTCTGCGGATATGATGAGCGCGTCTGACGTCGACGTCAATAATTTTGCCCATGATGCAGTGGAATACAGCGCTGCCGAATGAATCTCTTGTTGTGGCTGGCTTTTGCGCGAGCGCGACGCAACGGTGACGTCGCCAGAACTCGGAATTAACGGGAGTCCTTTTATTTCATGGGATGATTCTGAAAAATCGCGACTCGGCATAATTTCCACGTCAAAATGGAGCGGCTTGCCTTGCTGTTAGGGGCGGCGCGCGGGGGCTCTCAGGAGGAGTTAACGGATGCTCGTGCTCGGACACAGAGCCGCGCGAAGATTCTCCGGAGCTAGCCACCAGGCCCGTCCTATTCAGCGCGGCCGACCGGGGTCCCGGACGCGTTTTTCGAACATCTTCCCCTCGACGGAAATGGGTGATCATGCACAAAACGGAGCGGATGACAGTGACCGTAGCTGTCGGCGCGTAGACGAGTTCCCCTTACAGCGGTCGAAGTCTTAATCTCAGCGATGGATCACCTGATAATCCTCGCTTCAGCCATTGAGAGATTTACGATGACATCGGAAGTATGATGGAGGCGTTCGACCGCCAGCCGTGTAAGGGATCTCGGGGGGAATTTGTCGACCTCACTATTGCATGGAGTGTTTCTTACGCAGCCAGGGGAATCTGTGAACCCATGCACAAACACGACGGAAACGATGGGGAGCATGACACCGAGGGACGGTGTACGTATGTACATACGTGCAAAGTCATGACGAACCAAGCCCAAGTACTCTGATGCCTAATAAAGGCTCTCAGCTGTTCGCTCGTGCGGAGTTCCTTTCGTCGCTCGAAAGAGATTCTCGCCTCATTGAAAGGCCTAGAGCTATTCCAAAGAGGTTCGTGACGTTGGCCGGGAACGTCCCGGGAGAATGACTCGAGCTCATTGAATCGACGCTGTCAGGACTCAGAATTTCTCACGAATCGGGGGAAAGAACTCATGGAAGTAATTACAGTTTGCGCACGACGACGGTGGCGGAGTTACCACCTCAGGCGCCAGATGCTTCCGACAGGTTAGTCACACTTACCCTCCTTTCTGCGCTGAGTTGGCTTCCGCCTTTTTTCGTTTCTTTTTTTTTCGCAAACTCTGGCTCCTGGATTTCTCTCGGGCTGGGCCTCGCCTCGTCCGTTTCGCTCGAGTTCCGTTTAAAAAGCGGAGACAGGTTTTTTCTTCTCGCCAAAACGTTGAAGCCAACCTGGAGCGTGGTCGTATTCATTCTTTGTAGCCGATGTCGCCATCGCTCACATGTCTCCCGTCTTTCGCCGAATCGACCGCGGGATGACGAGGGCTTTCAGCTGAAAGGCCCAGGCAGGAAAGGAAGAGCGGCCCATGTGCAAAGATGTTTTGTTCGCCCGCCGCGGTTCCATGTCGGCGCGAAATAACCAATGACTCGATTCGGTAAGATGTTCCGTAAGAGCAGCTCGAAATCGGCTTAAGACGCGGAGAACATCTGAGTCTGACCGGTAAGCCGCTACCAACCAATGGATTACATCATCGTTTGGCGACACAGGCGGCTGTTAGAAAACCCGGTCATAATTTCGACCATCGGTCACACTCACGAGTCACCAGCGGTAAGGCTCCTGAGGGAACGAGGGCGATCCTGTTCCCGTTTCGTCCTGTCTCTCATGGAGAATGATGAATATTCTCGCCGTTCGTGGAATTCCGAAGGGATGTAGACACTCGTGTCAGAGAAATTGTGGACAATGAGGGGACTAGCAGACCGAAGGAATCGGAACCCGAGAGCCAGGCGAGCGTCCGATCCACGTTTTTTCTCTTCTCGCTTCTCGCCTCCTCCACGCCAGCCTCTAACACCAATACGCCCAAGCGGAGTTTCCTGATACAGTGATTCGCAATCGTGCCGCATGCTCCTGCGGAGTAATATGTGCATACCTACGTATACATGCCTTCCCCGAGGTGCATTCACAAGCGCTCGACGTCCCATCTGGCTTGCTTTTTGAAGTTGAGCTGGAATCCTTATTGGCTCCGCAAGCCACTGAATTCAGTTTGATGCGCAAGAGTTATACTCGCATTCAGGAAAAAAATACGTCTCATACATAGTCAAATTTGTGAGTTCGGCCGCCCGCTTGACGGCCTGTGTTCCGCTCGGTGCTCAGCTCTGAGCCTACCAGCGAGGGTCGAGCCGTTTGCTATTGTTCGTCAGCACACATAAACGCACTGCATTCACATACAAGCCCACACAAACACAAACGAAACCTGTATTACATCCGAAACCACAAGAATCCCATTATACGGTCAAATACATCTTCATGCGAAGCGCTATCCCGCTTTCGAGTGTATACATACATATATGCCCTCTCCTTTGTTGTCGGCCCTTTATCGTTGCGGGCTCAGACGGCACTCATATTTCATGGAGTCTGATACTCTTCTGGAGCGTTCCCGAACAATGATCAATCGCCCAGGAAGCAAGCGTGAAAATGGAACTCACAAAGTCTTGCGCGAGCGTCGTGGCGGAAGGCCGTCGAAGCTACGGGAGCTTATTTGGGATAAGTTTTTATGATTTTCTTCACCCGAGGGGAAACTCCGTGCGAGAGAATGTTTTCGGACGGATATCGCAGGAAAATTCTCGGAGGTTTGGATCCGTTCACAAAAAACTACGTTTCCATGAACGCGCGAAACTTGAGAATCATGATCGGGGAATAGAAGAAGAAGTATCTCTATGCTCGCTCGGCTCGAAGGACTGAACGCTGTGTTGCTCGTCCTTGGTGTTATTCTATGGGATTGCACACTGTCGTGGGATCGTCAAAATATCCTCCGGACTTTCGGGCTAGGAGAAGCATCAACAGACTTTTCGGTCTCGCATCGGAGCTTAACGTCGTGTTTTTTCTCACTCACGACATTACTCAGAGTTTATTCATTCGCACACATGGATGCTGCAATCCGGAGGTTGGCATGGGTCGAAGTTCGCCCTTCCCGGACTTATCGATCTCTCAATTATTCTGGAACACGGAAAACCGTCGCAGGAAGTGGGGCCGGCAGAGACGTGAGGGCGCGACCTGGCGTTGTGTTTGCGACGACGTACATAAGTTTCCCGGAGGCGGTGCTGGAGAGCGCCGGGAATCATTCCGCGATCTCGAATACGCAAGAATTCATCAGATGCGAAGTAAGATCTTTTTGAATGAGGCCATGGGAAAACGATGATGAATTTGTTTTGAAAAAAGGGTACGGGTAAATTGTCCGATATCGCTGTGGATTGCGGAAGCCCAGCATCTATGGGTACATCGGAAAAAGTAGTTGGTGAATATTTCCCGAGCTTTGAAGTTGTTCATAAACTCGGTCGGTTCCACACGGCGACGAGGTTGTCAGCCGACGGGCGAAGGGGGACACCTGGCAGAGACGACTAGATGGCAGGTACGAAGCATCCAGCTTACCACTCTCCATATTTTGCATGTGTTGAATTTCAGAGTCGGCTCGCAGTGTATTCCACGCATTTTCCCGCCGGGACGTCTTTCAACGATTTGAAACATTACATGCAAATGTACCACTCAAAGCGGTTCGCGTATTTCGACTACGGGAGCACGGCCCGCAATCTGCATGCCTACGGATCGGTGAGTTTCCGCTCGTCGACTTCGTGAAGATCGGCCGTTCTCGAATGTCATGTTCGTCACGCTTGTCATCCATTCGTTCGTTTCGGACGGGAATCAGTCCAGAGTCAGAAATGAGATGCGGCGCTATCTGCCGAGGTCTTGTGCATCGTGAAACGCTCAAAATGCCGAGGCGGAACACTCGCTGTCCAGGGACTGTTCCCGGAGATCGAACGAATTCGGTCGAGTCAATCAATGCTTGCGCTTCCTCTGTGTCGCAAATGCCTCTGCTCATACATTGAAAATCCTCCCAACGGAATTATATTTCCTTTCATGTTGAACGTATCCGATAGGTCCGACCTCCATCTTACGATCTGAGTAAGGTCACCGCCAAAATGCTGATTTTCTACTCAAAGGACGACGCTTTCATTTCGGTCGAGGACGGCGCCCGTGTTTCGCAACTTTTCAAGAACAACATTTATAAAAACACCGCCATCTTGCTTCCGTGCTCAGGATTCGTCCACATGGATTTCCTCTGGTCGGTGAACGCCAAAAAACAGCTTTACAACATGGTTATCAAACGGATGCACGAGTACGATGAAGAGCACCGGAGACGCTGAATGGCTGAAAGTCTTCGAAAACCCTGTTTATATAATAATCTGTAGAAATAAAGCTCTGCGAATCGAGGCAAACTTACGGGATGAAGGCCTGTCATTCATCGATCGAAGGAATCCATTGCGTGACCTCCTATTCCTGTGCATTCATTCGCGAACCGCCTTTTATAAGTTTCCGCTTCATCACCGGGAACAGATCATTATTTCTGCACAAACTACGCTTACGAGACAGACGATTGATGTTGCGCTTTCCAAATATCGGATCATCTGAATGGGATGAATGAGCGCCAAGAGCGCGAAGCTCATCGTCTCAAAAAGCCTCTATCCCTCCGGTACGACATCAATGATGTTATCCCCGCAATACAAAGCTAGATTTTCTGAGCGGGAGCGCCCAGGTCTCACACGGAGTATGACATTCATGTGTCCTGGCGGGCAGCATCCTTTTCCCCACGATTTCCCGTCACCGGCAAGCTGCGGGCAAGAAGCTACGATCGGATAGACCCAGAATACTCGTGGCCAACTCGCTCATACGACTCGTACGTTTTTCCCAGCGCGGTGCGCAATCCAGACCCACCCGCACACACACTGAAATTCAACAAATTAATGATCGTTCCTCTCTCTCACCCCGAGACGAGTCTGAATGTCGGTGTCGCGTGTCGCTCCGACTGAGTGACTGTTTGACTGACTGTTCACTCCATGTGTCTCCCGAACTCTGTTCCTTTTACAATGGCTGACATTAAAAGTTTCGAACAGATTTTGAATTCGTTCGCTATTCCTTGCGTCGGAACGAACGCGATGCCTGTATTCATCTGGCTCGCGACTATCACGTCGTCTGAGTGACTAACTGACTGAATTGTTGGGTGGCCGCGTACCTAACGGACTGGCAGTCTCGCCGGCTGCGTCAGTGCTGGGTAAAAATAACGGAGACGAGGAAAAAAGAGATAATTTATTCACATGCTATGCAATTAGGTCCAAAGTGTTGGGGCTCGCTCGAAGGTGGGCACGCTTGGTCGCTGGCTCGCTTGCTTAGTTAGTTGGCTGTCTTTTTTAGCCGAAGCTGAGAAGCGAGGATCATTCTTCCTGCGCAAGGGCGGATTCCTGCAAAGAATCGAGATCGTAAGAGATATCATCAGGGGGCAGTCCCCATTCGACCCAACGAGCCTTACCGGCTACTCGAATTTTTGATAATGACAAGCGCAATTGAGGAGAGTTCCGTGACCGGAGTGCTCCCAAGCCTCGGTCGGCGTATGACATTACAACAATCTCGTGCGGATTTCTAAATGAGATCCCCACTGCTCAATCCATGAGCGGGTCCTCGAAATTAGGGAGCGATGAGTTAATTTTAACAATCTGCGAAGACGCACGATGAGTCTGCTTGTGGTCCGGATGTGGGCTCCAACGGGGATCCTGTCTATTCTCGGGACTCAGATCCATTCGTTCGATAGCCATCTCAGGATGGACTCGGCGCGAAAGTGTGGGCTCCGGCTCAGTACTCAGACTGTCTTCTCTTCCGGATATCATGCGTGATCTCCGATTTCTGCGAGAGATAATGAATTCACTATTGTCTCGGAAATTCAATCTCTGGGTTCGTGCAGGCACGGAAAGCTCGTGCGATTCCACTGAGCTCGAATGGGGTTCCGAGAGAATTAATCTTTGCTCCGATTAACGTAAGCTCGAGCTGATCTCATGAGAGAAATAAGAGCAGAGCCCCGGCCCCGATCCTCCGCGACATTTGCGGCAGGGAGGAACAACGATCCGATTTCCATCGACGCATCGCCGCACCCTCTTCGGTCATATTCTGTCGGAGTACTGCCGGGACTTTGTATTGGGAAAACCCCAACGGTACGAGGCGCGGTTTTCCGGAGCATGCTGGTAATGGGAGAAACCCGACCTTGTGATGGGCACACCGAAACCCAAGGCTTCCCTCAGATCAGTCGCATGCAAGAGACATATGAGAACGTATTGGATGAGCACGATGTGCGACCCGACGTGCGGCGATGCTTCGAAGAAAGAGAATGAAGCCGGAAAGGAACTGCTCCGCTCGGTGGTCGACTCCGGTCGGAAAAGAATTCGCTCGAACCCCGGGCCCCTTTAGCTCTCCGCCAGCCTCCAACCACAGGCTTTATTTTTCTTATCTTCCTTTTCAATTACATTTCGCCATCCCGTGCTTCCGAGGAGAGCATAGCTGACACCGTTCTCGTCACGTTTTCTCCACCACAAGCGGCGACGTGAGGTTCTTCAACGCAGTGGACAGCGACGATGACGACGACTGCGTCGACGACGACAACAACGACGACCAAAGCCATAAACAAAAAGAGCGGGTACTGTGTTCCCGCTATAGACGACCCATGTGCTTGCTTGCCCGCTCGCTCTCCCGACCGTCGGGCGGACCGGCCGACTACCCCTCCGCTCGCCCCACACAACTCCGTCTCCTTACAGATGGCTGGTTGACCCAAAACCATAAAATGAATCGTCCACAGAGAGGGAACGCGAGGCATTTTTCACCTATTTTATATCCGTTCAAAACGAGTCCCTTTTCCTGTGCCAGTTCTTCCTCTTTGGCTTTCATCGGATATGGTGGAGGCGGCGACGACCACCGACGCGGTAGTCGTCGTTCTCAGCACAGCCGTCTTGAACCTTTTCCTCCTTCAGCACCAAGCCACGTCTCCATCTTGAATCACTGTCTAGCCTCTCCCCAGTCCCTGTAAAGCAATTTCTTCAAGGTTCCCTCTTCTTCCTCTTTTTTTAGACGACATTTATGCCCCGCCCGCACATATTGGATATAGAATCAGGCCGCAGGATGACGACAACCACATCTACAACGATCCTCGCACAGAGTCGAAGGGAGTCCGTTTCAAGTTTATGACGCTTCCACAAATCCCACAGAAGCAGCAGCAGCGACGACCGTAACCAAGAGCTCTTCGCAGATGTATCTCAGTCAGCCAGTCAGACGGTCGCTCTGAATCGATTCCACACACGAAGAACATTGAAAATCCTCTCCTGTTGACACCGCCGCCGGCTTGGTGGCCCATAAATATGTCTCGCTCTTTTCCCAGCTCCAGCGGCCCGAAGCGCTCGATAGGAGGAACAGCACGTCACAGTCCGCAATAATCACACATGCAGACCGGAACCGTCCCGACTCCTAATCAGATCCTGCAGGGGTTGAGAGCGAGTCGAGGGTTCTGGCGTGACCGACGAAGGTCGCTCGGATATCCTCGATCATTCGTCCTCTTCCTCCACTCCAATGGGGTATTGTAGCCTCCGTCAGATGTTCCGAACGATGGCGGGTTCTGGAATTCCACTGAGGGGAATAAATTCTCCACGGAGGAAACTCGGAGTTCCGGTCGATACAGTCGATCGTATTCAAAGTCTGCGGTGGTAGAGCCATGCTCGGAGCCAGTCGCTCACGTCCGCAATGTCGTTATCAGCATGAGCATCGCTCCGTTCCGCCATACCTCCTCGAGACCCACTCAGTTCCCTAATTTTCGTCTCTCTGTGCCGCCTCTCTATATCCTTCCCAATTCCGCCTGCACGACGAGAGCGCACATCATTGCTTTGTCCCCCAAGGCTTCTTCGTCAGATTCCGGATTACTCGATAGAGACAATCTGTGTCGGAGTGAAGTGAGGCTTTGCTGATGAGTATCCACTGCCGAGCACGTCTTCGTCTTTTTGCACGCACTCCGAAAGAGTTAGTCAGCCACCGATCCAGCCAGCCAGCCAGCCAGCCACTCATCCTCAATCGGTTGGCCCGTTCCTTCGTTCGTCCGTCTGTGGGCCCGTTCGCTCCTTCGTTCGTTCGTTCGTCGTTCGATCGGCCATAAAGAGCTTATTGAAGCGTTGGAGGTGGAAGGCAGCCGAGCACTCGGCTCCTGGAGAAAAGGGAAAAATGAGGCACGAGAGATCGGACGAGAGGAAGGCGAAGGTGAGCAGGCCGGCAGGCCGGCAGGCAATGAAGGAGAATGAGAAGGACAGGAAATATCGGTCGGCAGTTACGGTCGACTCTGGTTTGCTTGTTTTCGGGGGAGGAGCCGGAGACTCCCGGCTCGGGCTCGCTACTATCCCGGAACAATTAATAGAGAGGAAAACTCGTTGCCGAGCAGATGGAAGGAACTCCGATTGACAATCCTCGGATCCATTGTCTCTCCTTCTTGTGAGGGCTTGTACACGCATTTACCCCCTAAGTACGTGAGAGTGTCTTCGCCGCTAAGGAGGGATCCGTGCCGAGCTATTTGATTTTCTCCCTCGGCGGGGAAGATAAATCGAGCACCTTATCCGTCGATATGGCCGCCTTTTCACCGCTCCCGCGTCCACAATCATTGACCGAGCGTGCTTGAAGCGCTGAAGCAACTCGACGGTGATCCAGTTATGCAGATTGTCAACGACGCTGAACAAGCGCCAGCCTGTTAGCCGGTCATCGAAGCGACCAGCCCGCCCCGGCTATCTACCCGCCTTGAGATTCTCGGGTTATCTTGCAATCATTAGCTATTGGGCACCATTAGGAGCGCAAGGACCGGCACAGCTAATCGAATCACGATTCGACTGGAAGCTTGTGGAGTATTATCATTAAACTTCTCTCGATTCGTCGTTTCGGTGCGCGATTTTCGTGCGGAGTTCGCTCAGCGACGAGCCCATGTGCAGATCGAAACAAGTGTATTGAATTCCATCGAGTCACAGGACGAGCTCACGGAAGACACGAAACACTTACCCACGCGGAATCAATTCGGATAGAGAAACTCGATATTACTGCATGCTGAAACGCCCTTGGTATCGCAGAAAAAAAATCTTCACATCTCCGTGCTGATTCTTGCACCCTGATCGGGGGCTGGAGGATAACCGGGCCGAGATTGGAACAAGGCCCGACCCTGGACGGATGCGGCGAGCGAAAATACCCGGGAATGTATCGAAGCTCCCGAGCCGAACGAAAATGTTTTCGGGAGGCCTCGCCGAATACCCTCCCTGCTCCAGAAGCGTCTTTTCGCGGAGTAAGGACGTGGAGCTGATTTCGT